GAGACTGTTTTCTGGATGTGTCACACGGTAAGAACATGACAGATGTAGCTCAGCTTTAGTAGGTCATTGAGTTGTTTGAAGTTCAGATAACTTTAATCCCAGGTTAAGTGCATACAGACCTATTTGACTTTATTGTGCCCTAATGTGGTGAGGTGTTTTGTCTGCATTGGTGATCCTGGAAGCTATACCAGTTGGGATCTCAATCCTTCACCGGTTCAACCATGCTGGGCAGGTCTCAGGTGAAAGGTCAACGAATTGCAACACCTCTGGCCCTGCAGGTTGGGGGTTAGGCGAGAGGTTGATGTTCAATCCCCATAAAGAGAGTATCGTAACTGAAACCGGACACACTTTTCAAGATAGCCAATATTGACCAAGATACAAACATTCAAAATATAGTACTTAAAAATTTACAAGAAATGTATGGATTGTCAGACACTTATGCGGATGTCCATAAAATTCTTTCTTATGAAATTTTGGAGTTCTCAGAAAGAAAAATAAGAGACTGCTCACAGTCTATAGCTGGTGAGACTGTTATGCACAGGGCACTTTCTTGGCAGCAGAGTCACAAGGGATTTTCGCTTCAATTTGACTCGCTCTTACAAGGTTCTCATTAAGTGCCGGCAACCAGCTAAAAACTGGCTACTTTGAGGTCCGAGCTGTCTACCATTGAGGGAAAATGGGTGAAGTAAGGGAGTGACAGCCTCAAATTGCCTTCAGCGCTCGATTGCCAAGCCACCAAAGTTTACATTTTGGCTGTTTTCTTTAAAATTAATGTCTTAATCTTCTTGTGCCTGACCGCTTCCAAAAAAACAACAACTCTCATCGGCAAATTTGGCAGCTACACAGCCTAGCGATGCTCCCTAGAAGAGAATTGCCCAGAATGCCTGTTTCCTTACATTAATTTATTTTGTGCCTTTGATCATGCAGAGGCCCAACGTATATTGATGGAAAGATGTCATATCCAGACTTTGTATGGTTTCTTCTCTCAGAAGAGGACAAGAAACATCCAAGAAGGTGTGATCTTCTTAAACGACTCTACTCTACAATGACGTTTACACTCATTAAAACCTTTTTATTCTTAATCTTACTATTTCTCTCTCTCTCTTTTTTTCCTTTTAAGTATTGAGTACTGGTTCCGCTGTATGGATGTGGACGGTGATGGTGTCCTGTCGATGTACGAGTTGGAATATTTTTACACAGAGCAGGTATCCAAGATGGATGCTCTTGGTATAGAGACAATGGTGTTTCAAGATTGCCTCTGTCAGGTATGGGTATTAATAGTTTGGGCCATTCAATTTCAAAGTCACCCCCCCAAAAATTTCAAAAACTATGCTTTTAACTCTAATATTATCATGCACACTCTTATTGTGCTTACGTGGAGAAATGGTTTAAAAATGAAATCTTTTTACACTTTTTGAGCAGAACTCAGCAGTAGAAACATGAGAGACATGAGACATTGCTACGTTGTTTGTTTATCGATATTCTATTATGTCTCAAATTCTTGTTTTCAGACTTACATTGGTTTGATTTTTATTTTCGATTCCCATTGCAGGCCGCCTACGTATCACCCCCAAACAAGTGCCCCCCCCCCCCCCCCCCCCCCCCCCCTCCCCCCCCCCCTCCCTCCACCCCCCCCCCCCTCCCCCCCGCCCCCCCGGCAAGCCCCCAGACTAAAAGCCCCACCAAACACCCCCCCCCACCCCCCGCCCCCCCCCCTCACTCCACACGCGCTCTCTCCTTCTGCACGTCGCCGCCCCCCCACGTCTACA